CTTCTGTGCTGGGCGGGTGCCGTGGTGCTGGGCAAGGGATGCAGAGCCCCTGCACACCTGGGTACCAGCACAGGAGCAATTCAGGCTCTTCACTGGGGGACGTTGTGTGAAGTTTGGGGTGCTTGGGTCAGGACTCCCCTGTGCTGAGGCCCCGTCTCCTGCAGCCACTCCTCCGGTTTGACACATGCGGCGCACACGTGCGGGATCCCTCCTGCTCCCCGGCTCACGCCACGCGCAATCTTGTTCTGATTTTCAGGGCTCCAATAAAGCATGTCAAAACGCATCAAAGGCTGAATGCAGAAGTGAAACAAATTGACTCTGGAGAGGATTTCGGGATTGGAGGGCGTAGGGAGATGGCAGATAACCCCCAAACCAAGCACAAATTGCAGGGAAGGTGAAGTGCGGCGGAGACGGCAGATGTGCAGCACAGCTGGAGGGACATCTTGGTTTGGCAGGACAACGGGAAAAACTAAAAATACCGCTCGTATCCTCTGCAGATGTGGGTAGGGACATGGCCACCATCACTGTGGGATGTAGGATCATGGGGCTCCATTGCACCCTTGCTGGGGAGGGCCCTGTCCCCCTCTGCAGGGGCTGCAGGGGGGAGCGAGCGAAGGCCGGTGCTGGTGTCCCATGGCTGCGGATTTGGCAGCTCCAGGCTCAGGGGGGCTGCACAGACCCCATCGTGTCCATGGGAGGGGACATCCTGCCCCGTCTGCTGCTCAGTGCCGTGCTGCTCTCATGTCCTGCCCCATCCCTGTCCCTGCGCTGCCGTGGTCCCCAGCGCCCCGGGCGCTTCTTATGGTGATAAAGGCACAGAACTGCGCTCATGGACCAGGCTCGACGCCGTTGTGCTGCGAAGTACAGCACTTCAAAAGGTGGTGTTTAGCATTTCTTCAGACGCCTGTTGTAAGTGCAGTGACAGAGCTGCTGAAAGCACATTAATTATTAGTAAAGACTTTTTTTCTTTTTATTGCAAGACAAATTAAACAACATGAGAAAACAGAAAGTGTTACACGAGATGTTAATCCATGGGAGAGTGACAGCAGCAAAAGCCACAAATAATTCATAACATGAAAATCAGGACGTTTAATTTTTGGCTTCTTTGCATTTGGCATTGGTGCGCATGCTCAGTTGCCGCTTCTCCAGTGCTCCAATACAGAGGTTTTGGAAGCTGTTAATTCTGGGAAAGGTGATTAAGGCCCTTGAGAGTAAATTGGATAAGGGACCACAATATTTTTTCCTTTCCTCTTGACTGGAAGAAACTGAGTTGCTGAATTCAGGGCTTTGTGGTGTGAGTCCTCCCTGTCCTTGGTTGTACAATAGGAAAAATGAACCTCGGCAGAAATACCTGGAGCATCCCCATGAGCAGCGACTGGAGGCTGCTGACCCCTGCCCAGGCACGGTACCCGTGGTGAAATGTCTGTGGGTTAGCATGGGGTGAGGAAGAGAATGGGTCTGTGGGTTAGCATGGGGTGAGGATGAGGATGGGTCTGTGGGTTAGCATGGGGTGAGGATGAGGATGGGTCTGTGGGTTGGCATCGGAGTGAGGGAGAGGATGAGGATGGGTCTATGGAGTGAGGAAGAGGATGGTTCTGTGGGTTGGCATGGGGGTGAGGAAGAGGGAGAGGATGGGTCCATGGGTTAGCACTGGGGTGACGAAGAGGATGGATGTGCGGGTCTGTGGTTGCAGCAGCCCAGTCAGTAGCTGCTGGGACATCTCCCTGTAACTTTGATCCCTGCACCCGATGCACGTGTTGTGAAGTTTGGACAGCAGCTACCCCAGGGCTCGGCTCCGATCTCGGGTTTAGCCCCTGCCTCTGCTGTATTTAACACGTCCCCTCCAGCGCCACCTTTGGGAAAGCCACCGTCCTGAGCCATGGATGGTGCCATGTCTTCAAACTCCCTACTCTGAAACCACAGGAAGCCACCTGCAGCTTCTTGGGGTTTTCATTATTTTCTGCTTCTGGTTGTCGAAATACGGAAATAATTGGCAGCGAAAAATACCAAGGGTGGTCTGTGAAGTGATATAAAGGGCAAACCTCGGGATTAGAAAAACTCTGTTTTGTTCATGTTTGTCATTACTCTCAAACTTCTGCTACCGGTCATGAATTTCCCATTATTAAAAGGACTTTGTTTCCTATTCTGTGAGCTCATTGCTCAAAAAAAAAAGGGGCCGATGAGCTTGATAACAGGGGGTATACGACAACAAAAATAGAAGCATCTTGCTGAGGGAAGATTGCCGGAAAGGAGATTACGGCAGCATTTATCAGGAGCGTGATGGCAGCGTTTGCAGCAGTGCTGCAGATCCAGCTCTGCCCCCGCTGTCACGGCGCCCCCAGCCCGCGCTGACCCCGGGGCCTGGCTGGGTCTGCAGGGACGTTTCCATCGCCCTGGTGTGACAAGGACTCGTGCGGCCCCGTCCGCGCCTGGTGGGATTCAGCTGGCGCAAAGCACATCCTTAAAAAGGGATTTGGCTTTGAAAACGTCTCTGATGTCAGCGTGTGCATTGCTGTCCTCTAAAATTTAATGCAACTTAGTTAGCGTCTTTCCAGCAGTTGCCAGAAACTGGAGTCAGCCCCATCAGATTGATTTTCATTAGGCTGTTACTGAAACTGCCGAGAGGAACCGTGGCCATATGGCACGAGGTGTTGGGAGTGGAGTCTCGGGATGAGGTTTGCTGTTCCTGGAGGTGCTGAGGGGATGCGCAGGGGCGACCGATTTGGAGCAGGGCCCTGGGTGCCACCACGGGAGGTGAGGACAAACCCCGCTGGAGGGAGACGAAGCAGCAGTGTCTGTGCTGGGGTCTGTGTGTGCCCCAAGGAGGACACCAGGGTGGAGGTGTCAAACCGAGCGGTTTGGTCTGAATCGTGCGTTGATTCCGTAGTGCTCGGAAAGAAACGGCTCTGTGAGTGCATGGGGAGCTCGTCCCACCTCGCGCAGCATCCGCGGCTCTTCTGGAGCATCCATGGGTGCTGCTGCTGGGGAAATGCCCCTTTCCCCTCTGCTTTGTGGCCAGGATGGGCTGGCAGTGAGGGTCAGCCCCAGACTGGTCTTTTCTGGGCAGGGAGAGCCAGCGTGGAGTTAAGTGGTTAGAAATACATAAATATTAATTGCGTATGAACTCCTTTATGGCACTTGCGGGTGGGAGAAGTTAATAAATCACTGCTAGCGCTGACCCGCCAAACAAGGCGTCGATGCTCTCGGTGACTGGGGGCTGCCAAAGAGAGACTTTCCCAGGTAATTTGGACGGTTACGTGTGGATCACGGAGCATAACGTTCACATTAATGTCATGATGATAACGGCATCCACCTATTGCGATGCGTTACATCCCTGAGTAGCAACAACGGCGTGTAAAACCTCAGTGCTGAGACTGGCAAATGCTGTACCTGTATCAGACGCTGCTGCTTAGAGAAAAGAGATTAAATCCAGCTCCTGGATAAGCCTGCTCAGCCCCTGCGGCTGCGAAGGGGGAAAAGGCAGCTCTGTTCATATCAGAGGCAGAACGAGCTTGGATCTGCTATCAGGGCATGAGGGGCTGCAATAACGCTGAGCGGCTTTTGATTTACTCTGATTTTCGCAATGAGAGTTTGTCCTGCGAGCGCCGCAGCCTGCATGCCAATGAGGGCAGCGTTACCTGCCGGATCGGGGTTTAATGAGGTTCTTTGGTTCGCCTTGTGCCAGTTTGTTGTATTTAAATGAGATTCCTTCCCTCCGCTTTATTTTGCCTTTGATGCGATTTTGCAGCACTTTCTGTGCTCCTAAAAGGGCCTTTTGGTGTCTTGGAAAGTTTCTCAGTGCGGCGTTTCTCCAGACAGGGTAAATGAAGATTAAACCCAGGCAGACACAGGGGAAAGCAGCGAGCGTCTCTGCAGTCGCAGAGCAAGGGCATGGGCAGAGCAGCCTGAGATTTGTGTCTGCTGCACCAGGAACACCCAAACCAGCCTTTCCCTGGAGCTGGGGCACATTGGGCGCTCTGGGCTGGAGCTGCGGGGGTCCAGGGCAGGGCTGGGGGGCCGGGATGTCCCCAGCCCCAGGGCAGGGCGAGCACTGACAGCTCTTTCTCTATCTGATGGCTTTTCTGCTAATGACGTCTCGTAACTGGTTCATTTCCATGTTGCTTTTGTTCGCAATCAGTGGAATAAACTCTAGAAAAACTGTATTATCAGCCTTCATTATGCCCGGGTTTGTTATGATTGCAAATTAATAGGCTTTATCTTGGCATTAGTCAGGAGGCATCGGCCCCTGGTTCCCTCTTGAATTGCACTGGGGTTTTTTCTGTTTTTAAGCATCCTCTCTATGAAGCTGCTGCTGGTGCTTCCTGGCTCTGCCTGGGTTCGGTCTATGTAGTAATTTGTCAGTGGATGTGCATCCTGGTGTTCAGCCCGGAGCGGGTACCTGCGGGTGCGTGTGACCCAGACCAGGGGTGTGTGTCAGTGCGGGTGTCCGTGTGTCCGGGTGTCACAGCCGCGTTGTCCCTGCAAGTCTCCACTTGGGAAGCTCCAGGGAGCGCACAAATATTTGAACAGCTGCTTGGGAGCAGCACAGCCCAGTAAATCATCCAGCCAATTTCCCTCCGTGTCTAAATTGAGAAATACAGCAGAGCTTAAAAACACCTTCCTCCAGGTTGTAACGGTGTTTGGTTTTATAGAGAGCTCTTTATCAGCTCCGTGTTGTATAACAAATGGTTAAGCGTGTTTCGAGCCAGGAGTGATGCACGCTACAGCTGGTGTTGTACGCAGTGTTTCTGGATATGAAAGATGTTGGAGAAGAGCTGCGTAACGCTGGGGACTATTGCAGGTGTGGGGATGTGGTGGGGACCAAGCACGTTTGCGCCATTATAAAGCCCCGTTATAAAACCCCATTATAAAGCCCCATTCTAAAGCTGTTCCTGTTCCCTCGCGGTGACCAGAGCCGCTCGGCTCCGGCGCTGCTTTGCTGCAGGGACCCTCACCAGACCCTTGCGACTGACTCTGGTTCTTGTCTCTGTCGTGAACAGATGAAGTCGTCGGACGTCGACCCGGAGCTGTTCACCGAGAGTTACTGCAAGGTCTGCAGCGCCCAGCTCATCTCGGAGTCGCAGCGCGTGGCCCATTACGAGGTAGGGTCCTCCCGCCGTGCAGCTCCCTCGTCCCGGTGTGTTTTAACGGTGGTGTCAGCTGCCGCGTCCCCAGCGTTTCGCGTTCCTCTCCGAAAACTGAAGATTCAAAGGGTTGTTTGTGCTGGTGGCATCTTGCTCTGTAGACGGTGTCACTGCTCTGCTGCGTGTCTGGTTTTCCCTTCTCTCCAAATCTGCAAAGTCAGGCTGCAGCTCGGGCAGGGCTGGCAGCGGGGTTTCGAAGAATGGAGTTTGCAAGGAGATCAATTAGGAGTTCGGCAAAACCAACTCGAGTTTTCATATCAAACTGCTGCGCTGTGCTCTGCTGAGGTGGAATCCCTGATTGTGCAGGGAACAGATTGGTATTTGTGGATGCGTTTAAGCACTTAAGAGGTAGGCGAGCAATAAACAATTAGAAAGGCTGTATTATTAGAGACGTGTTAGAGCAGCAATTAGCAGCACTGCGTATCTTCAAAGCCTGTCAGTCTCTGCAGTATTTCCAGAAAACCAGAATCTGTGCTGGGAGGCCTTGAAGACAAAGTTTCCCCAGACTTTTGGTCAGATTTGAGTGTTCAGCAGTGGGTGCATAGAGGAGACGTCTGTGTGGTTGGGGGAGATGTTCAAGGAGCTCAATCAGCGTGTGGCGCCCAGGGATGCTGAGCTGCGTTAACGAACCACGCCAATGATAACGCGCATTGACGCCCCTGTTGTGGTGACCCCCCTGACCCGCCTGCAGACACTGCCCTTGCATGAGAAGTCGAGGGCTGCGGTTTTAGGGACACTTCCCAGATCTAATCTGGGGGCTGCGGGTGCCAGGTTTTGTCTGCAGGAGGCAGAAGCGGTGCCGCAGGAGCGGGAGCAGCGAGAGGTGAGCAATGGGGTGCTCATCCAACCGCTTCCCTCCGCGCCCGTCGGTGCAGGTATGAGCTGAATCATTAATTCATAGCAGATGTTGCTGAAGTGTGGAAAACAACACCATTTTCTGTTGTATATTTCTAGCGCGAGGTGTTGTGCTCATTTGTCATCCCCCGTGAAATCCCAGCAGACGCTGCAGACGCTCGGCACAATAATGTCACTGCCAGCCCTCGCCTGCGCGTCTGCGGGATGGGGTGGGGATGGAGCGGGATGGAGCAGGGATATGGAACAGGGATGGAGCGGAGATATAGAGCGGGGATATGGAGTGGGGATGGAGCGGGGATGGAGCAGGGATATGGAACAGAGATGGAGCAGGGATGGGGGACAGAGGGTGGGGGGACCGCTCCCAGGCTGGGGTCTCCTCTGGTTTTCGGGGAGGCAGCAGCAGGCCCGCAGAAGCCATTGCAGCCCCTGGACGTGTCCCTGGTGCAGCATGAAGCTGTGCAGGGAGGTTCCTCTGTCCGAGTGCTTCGACTGCAATTGCAAGTAGGGAAATGCACTGCAGTGCTCCCGGCCATTCCCAGTCCTGGCCCTTCCTGGTCCTTCCTGAAGCCCCAGTGATAAGTCCCAGTGAGCAGCTCTGAGCGGAGCTTGGCCTCCTCCTCCCATCGGATGAGCACTGAGCTGTTTCCCTATGGATCATGGAGGATTTATTGGAGGATAATTCCCGCAAACAACTCCTGCTCTGTCGCTGTTTTGTGAGGGGTTTGGTCTGAGCCCCGTGTGCTGTTCCCATGCCAGAGGGTGAGGGGTTTCTGCTCCCCAGCCTGCGCAGCAGAGCAGGTCTGGGGTCAGGATATTCACTTCTGTAACACCAGGGCTCACAACGTGACTGTTACTGTGCAAAGCTCTGGTGTTGAACGCACCTGAGCTCCATCCTGCCCAAAACCTATGAGCCCATTAGTTAATAGCAGG